ATCTCTGTGGCCTTATAGCTACTAATGAAAGGAACACTTTTGATTCATTTTTAGCCTGTCACTTTATTTTTGGCTAGGTGAAAAATGCAACCAACACATTTTTCATGTTCAAGGGGTGAAGTCCACCCATTCGACGGATCCGAAGAAATGACCCAATAGCTACTAGTAAAACACTATTTATTTATTTTTAGCTTGTAACTCTGTTTCTAACTAGGTGGGAGATAAAAAGCTGCCTATGCTCTGAGGGTGTGAACTACCCCTACGTCTGGTAGAAAAAAAAATCTGACTTCTGCGCCTACATATAAATGATGGTCATTTTTATTATTTCATCAATGGTGTTAGCTTTCTAAATATTTTTGCACTAAGGGTTAAAATACCCTTTTTGATGCGGTCTGTTGCTAAAATTAGCTAGAAATACGATGCAATCATTAAAAAGTCAGTTGTTGGTACTAAAAAATGGCTGCTGAAAATTGGCTGCTGGGTTCACCCGAATGCCCGGAAGAATTGGCTGCTAGCACCTGGCTGCTAACTTCACACCGGTTGCCTGTCTGCAGCATATTTTTTCACTTGTCACTTCACAAACCAGGGACTTTCTTTTCTTATCTCTCATTTTTTAAATTTAACAAATTCACGTTTGTAATTTCTAGAATGAATAAGAAGAACTGGATGCGCAACTAATTTCTAGCTTTGAACACATCTCAAGTAAGTGTATTTGAGACAAGAAACCAATGGAATTATCATCAACACAGATTATTAACACACAAATCTTCACTATGCACCTGTGCACTTCCAGCTATAGTATCCAATACAACTTATAGCTGCGCCCCCCAATACGGCCATCTGTGAAGCAGATGTTACATCAGAGCCAAACATTGATAACTGAACTATCATGACGTTTAGGCAACACGCATAGCTACAAAACGAGTCCACAACAAGTGTACAACAGCTAGTTCTAAGTTAACGTCTTGTAGAAAAACCTACGTTATGTCACAAAAAACCTACAAGATGTAAAAAAACGACAAAATGTCTTAGGTTTTGTTTGATATTTCGTAGGTTTTTCTACAAGATGTTAGTTCTACAAGCCGTTGTACACTTGTTGTGAACTCGTTATGTAGCTGTACGTGTTGCTTGAAATTCAGCGAAGAGCGAGCATAGCAAGCAGACATGGAATTAACTATTTGCACACTAAAAACTACCTAGTCTGTAAGATGACATTTCGTCGATTTTTTTTGACGTTTCTTAGGTCGCATACTGTTACTTTTTGATATCAGTGATTTAAATGCGTGACGTGATCACGACCTTCGAATATCGATGGTTGAGTTGCGATGATCGGTCTTAGGGGACGGATCGACCGGTGCAGATGCAGTGAAATGTAAAGTCATAGTTATTCCAATCATTGTTCGATATTTGTTGAAAGGGTTGTGTTTCATGTTATCGTATAATTTGTAGTGATGTACAGAAAATAGTATTTTGATCGAAACTTTACCAAGGTGCATAATTGATATTAGACGTGCTTATTAAAAATAATTTGTAATTTGGGCTGCTAACGGAATCGGCACGAGCTCATAGTAATCTCTAATTAATTTTATATTATGAGCAAAATGCCGCGATAAAATCGCATGGTTCGAACTATAAAAACCTGAGAATCAAGGTAGCGCTTGCAGGCCATTATTCAATTACAACACGGCTGACTTATCTACTTGTCGGCGGCCATTTTTTCAGGGTGCGCCATGGTTGCCAGATTGTGTAATCATACCTCGCGACGTTGCCAGCTCTACATATAAATACGAGATTGCTATACTTTTATATACATGAATTTGGTGGCATATTGGAGATCTTAGATGTGTTTATTAACATTTTGCGCTATCTTGACCAATGTTTTTTTGTACGTTAAAATAGCAGTGTGAATATCACAAGCTGTTATAAGATCACTCATATCTACTTAATAATTTGGAAAGGTTAAGAAGACAAACATCTATTGCAAATACCTAAATATATAATTTATTATATACGAGTAAATTGCATACATTTTTCTGCAAACAAATCAGTATTAATATCATTATGGTCCCGATGTTTTCATTCCCCAGCCTTTATTGACACCTGCATAAATAAAAAAAACTAGGAAAAAATTGAATTTTATAGCTATGTTACTGCATTTTACAGATTTAGGGTGGATTTCACAATTTAACAAACCATTATTCTGCACCACTAGGGTACGAGTACCAAGCAGTCCGTTAAATATACCCAATCAGCCTCAAGATCTCTCCGTCAAATTTTTGGCAGCAAATAGCATCAAAGTATTCAAAACAAAACACTGTAAAATATGAAGTGACAGCTTGCCATTGAAATCTTTTCAGTTTATTAAATATTATGAAATTATGTAAAACTGAGCCAAAATTTAAAAAAATGCTTCATGTCTGAGTAAAATCATTTTTTCAGTTTAGCTGAAGATTTTTCCATGTTTATTGGAACTTTTGTAATCCATATGTGATTATATCACCTACCGTGTGCTTATAGTTTATCCTACCTTTGCAAACTTCCACTTCCAAGCCCTTACATGAAAAAGCCTTTTCACTAAAATTTTTGTTAGGTGTTGCGTTTCAACACATTCATACACTTCTTTCCAGTTCCTCAACGATATGTTAACACGACTGGTCCGAAACTGTTCAACAGTTTCAACTTTCATACATACAACTGTAGTTGCAGTTTTTTGTTTTGATTTCAGTGTATAACACTGATCAACAGCCAAAAAATATCCTAAATAAAATCAACAAAATATTACTATTTTTAATGTGCTAAAACCGGAATGAAACTTATTTTTGCAATATTAGTTTAAGTTTTAGAGATACGGTAATTATATGTGTTCCTGCTGTGACAGTGTTAATATACTGTAATTCACAAGAATGCACGTGCTACATTTTTATATTCGGCAAGGAAAGATGATGTAATCGGCATGATTGTGTTACGTTATACATACGTGTACATTATATTGTTTTATATTAGCCATTCTTTCCTCAGTTGGCTGACAGCGTTCATGCAAGATGTCTCGAAAGTGTGTAAACAATCCAGATCAGTTTTGTTACGTGTGTGGTGATGTGACTTTTGCGTCTCAGAGACGGTCTATTAATCCACTAATAACAAAGGCATATCAGCTTTATTGCGGTTGTAAACTAGGTGATCAAGACAAACAGTGGGCACCCCACATCTGCTGTAATACATGTGCTTCAAGTCTGAGGAGCTGCTTAAATGGCAAAAAACGGTCTATGCGCTTTGCTGTCCCAATGGTTTAATGATTGTTACTTTTGCATGGTACCTTGTGTTGGACAAGCCACAGGTATGTCCAAGAAAAAAAAATCGGTTATTAATTACCCAAACATACCATCTGCGATGAGACCTGTGCCTCACAGTGACGAAAGTCCTATTCCAAAACCCCCAGAATCCTACACTTGCGAATCAGAAAACGAATCAGATCATGGCGATCGAGTGATTCGTCAGGAAGAAGATATGCCATCAATGTCAAGAGATCCTGATTTTATACCGAGCACGTCATGCCACCAACCGCACAAAATAACACAGTCAGAATTAAATGATCTTGTAAGAGATTTGGAACTTCCAAAATGTAAGGCAGAGTTACTTGGATCAAGACTGCAGCAGTGGAACTTGTTAGAAGACGATGTTTCGGTATGTGTTTTTCGTAAACGCCACAAATACTTAGAACCATTTTTCAATATGGAGAATAACTTGGTTTTCTGCAGTAACATTAACGGTTTACTGGCGGCTTTAAATATAAACTATGACCCAGAAGAATGGAGATTGTTTATAGACAGTTCAACATTGAGTTTAAAGGCAGTGTTATTACATATTGGAAATGTTTTACCATCTCTTCCTGTAGGGTATGCAGTTCACATGAAAGAATCATATGACAATATGAAGTACCTATTGACATTCATAAAATACGATGAGCACCAATGGCATATTTGTGGCGATTTGAAAGTTGTTGCACTTTTACTTGGGCTGCAGCTAGGCTACACAAAGTTTTGCTGTTTTTTGTGTGAATGGGACAGTCGGGCAAAGGCACTTCATTACACCAGACAAAACTCGCCTGTTCGTCAATTCCTAGAGCCAGGTCAAAAAAATGTACAGCATATGCCATTAGTAGATTCGAAAAAAATTTTATTACCACCACTGCATATCAAGTTGGGCCTGATGAAAAACTTTGACAAGGCATTAGATAGAGATGGGTCAGCTTTTCAATACGTGCGTCAGAAATTTCCAAGACTAAGTGAGGCAAAGGTTAAAGAAGGTATTTTTGTTGGGCCACAGATTCGAAATATTTTGAAAGATACACAGTTTGAAAACACTTTAACAGGTATTGAAAAAACTGCTTGGAATGATTTCCGTCTGGTGGTCACTAATTTCTTGGGAAATAGAAAAGCTGACAACTATAAAACTCTTGTCAAAAATATGCTGTCATCGTATCAAAAGATGGGCTGTAATATGTCTCTTAAGATACATTTCCTACACTCACACCTGGACTTTTTTCCTGACAATTATTGCGGAGCCGTAAGTGATGAGCACGGCGAATGTGTTCATCAGGATATTTCAACAATGGAAAAAAGGTACCAGGGAAAGTGGAATCCTTCCATGGTTGCAGACACTACTGTTGGACTCTTGGTAGAGATGCTCCAGAAACGATCCATAAAAGAACAGCAAAAAGACAGCGCATATAGTGATTCTTATAAGTATATGAATCTTGTTACTTTTTTTAATATATCCTTAAAAATAAAAAGTTTTTTTCTAAACCGCAACTAATTTTTTTATTTCATTGTCATTTTTGGATTCAGCGCCCCAAAATTAACAAAGAAGTGCATTTTTCCCACAAGATACAATTAAAAAACTAAAATTTGTTGTCCAGTTAATCAGTCGCACCATCGGTGATGGTACACGGCACTGGCGGCTTGTGGCAAAATAAAACAGGTGTTCTGCAAACCCGAACTTACCTATTTTTTATATGTCAGGTCGATCCTGCGCTCCTTCTTGGCAGCAAATTTGTCGATCACCTTCCCGTTGAAATTTTCCATGGTCGAAATAAATTCCTGTTCAATCGACAGCATCGACAACGCTGTAAGGCGATCCTGGGTCATAGTATTTCGAAGAAAGGTCTTGATTCTTTTCAATGTTGAGAAATTTCGCTCAGCCTCTGATGTCGACATAGAAGTTGTAACAATAATTTCTAATAGCTTTTTTGTTTCTTTTAGTGTTTCCTCCAAACTATTTTGTATCAGAAATTTCAAAAGAGACAGAGTTCCATGTAAATCTCGGCAATCATTCCGTGCATAAATAACAGACAACTCTGTCTTTAAACGACTTTTTTCTGAATTCGGGATAAGCCAAGCAGGTAGTTTCCAACTTGTCATCAGGAAACTTACCACAGTATTCTCCAAAGTGTTTGCGGGAAAAAAGGGGATGCGGCTACCAAATGATCTTTGAATTGAAATCTGTCATTTGCAGAATTCACTATATTGTCGCATATTTCTAATGCGGCAACTCGGTCATCGTGACTGCTATTACTACGTCGTCTCCTTTTGTTGCCTTGGGGTTCAGTGCAAATACTTTTGGCTTCATTTATTATGTCATCAATTTTATTTCTCACATCAATAATACATTTTTCAAAATTATCGACAGCCGTTTTAACTTGCACTGGCTCGGTTTTTCTCTTCTGCAACTGGTTGAACAAGATGTCGACGAGACGCATGACATGATGAAAAAATGTCAACCAAAACACGAAAACAGAATCGTTTAACATACGGCGAATACCGCAAGCTGCCTTGAAAACGGTTTCATTAGTGAAATTTTCTTCTGTTCCTTCCAGGCATTCAATGAGTGATTCTCTGTTCTCAAACACTACATTTATTGTTCGAATATTAAAATTCCAACGAGTTGTTGCTCCTTGGGGATTTTTTCTGTTCAGTACCTCTACGCGTTGATTAGAATTATTAAAAAATCCCGGAATATCTTTCAAATCCCCAAAGAACACTCGAACTTGAGCATTTGCGGAAGCAGCTTGGCACATAATCATGTTTAACTGATGCTCATAGCAATGCACATAGTGAGCAAATGGATATCTTTGTTTAGTTTTTGCCTGTACTCTAGCATTATGTCCGCTCATTACCGCGGCTCCATCATAGCTTTGTGAAATAGTTTGTTAGGGAAATTTCCTATTAATGGATCTACGACGTTCAAAATATGTCTTGTGAGAGTATCAGCGTCACATTTTTCGGGATCTTATAATTCCAAAAACGTTCTACTGGTTCGCCGTTGAATTCGTATCTGAAAATTGTTATCAGTTGGGTTTTCCCCGAAATGTCCGTTGTTTCATCTGCTATTATCGCCAAATACGAGACTCTGTTAATCTGTTTTATTATTTCTTCGTGACAAACTTCAAGAATACAATCTAGTGGATCGTTTTGTATTTCTTTCGAAGTTCCTTTAAATATTGAAGCATTGTTTATGTGTTCGCTTAAGGTTGTATCAAGCTCTGCAAAAAAATTGATCAGTCCACGAAATATTCCCGGGTTTTGGAAGCTCTCGGTTTCGTCGTGGCCCCGTAGCGCCAATTCAAATCCACCGCAAAATTTTATACAATCGATTATTTTTGATAGAACGTACCTGTTTTTTGTGACGGTATCATTATGCTGTTGTATATTTCTCCAATATGCTGAATCTAACTGAGCTCTGATGTCAACAGTGCCCAATAAAGCCAATTCCATCGAATTATGAAGATGTGTTTTAGAGTTTTCATGCTTCTTAATTTTTTCACTCAGGTGTACTAAATCTGTTAACACCTACCTCCGTCCAAGCTTTGTCACCGCCGAAAAGTATGCAAGGAAAGCAGGAAAGAGCATTCTTCCTGTTGCACCCACAAATCCAGTCCAGATCTCCCCGCTGAAATGCCGCGTATAGCCCTTGCCCCGACTAATGCCCTGTGTTTCTATAAATATGTCCGGCAGCTCAGTTTTTTCTTCAAATGTGTATTTCCAGAATCGTTTCACGCTGATAAGTCTGTAAACCACATCCATTGTCTTGCACTACCCTTCTACACAGCCACAGTCAGTCAGTGAGTTACTAGTCACTCATTGTAAGACCCAAAATACCTAAATAAAAAATTTTTCGTATTCAAATTTTAGGCCACGTCACGCGACAAGACCGATATGCCACTACCGCCGAGGACCGAGCACCGACCGACCAATCATATATCGTACTTCGCATTAGATCTGTACAGATCTGTATAACTTGCAGCACATGCTTATGCTTAAATCGCGCATTTGATTTTGTAGAGACAAAAGCAAGCGCGTGCGGCTTGTGTCGAAGTAGTGCACAGACCCTTTTCAAGTGGCCCATGAATAATGTTACGCTGCGGTCGCGACGAAAATGACAGGTACACAATTGGTCAATTATGCTTTCTCAGTACAAAACAGACTCGACGCCGTGTCTTGCGAGGGCAGCGTTGCCGGTATTGTTTCTATTTGTGTGATAACATGGAAAATAAATAATGATCAAATTACTACTGCTTTTTTCTGTTAAGACAAAAGTTTTGGCAGTTCTGCACAACTTGAGGGCCAGCCGCCCTTGGTACATGGTATTTGGGGGTTAGTGCAGACTTAACGTATACACGACGGTGTAATATGTAATTCTGCACATAAAAAATCTTGGAGGGAGCACTTTTTATCCGGAAATTTGTTGTTAAAAAATTCTATTTTTCACAAATAACAAAACAACTGACCACAAAACATAGAATACAGTGACGTTGGAGAAGGAGAATAAACCAAAGAAGATCGGAATTGACATGTGAAATTAGTGTCTAATAATATTAGTGATGGGAGATACGATGGACGTGGTTAATAAAATTCACTAAATAATCTACTATATATATTCACCGATAACAAACAGAGTTTTACAAGACGTTGGCCGCAGCGGCGCAAGAACGTCTTCTCTTCTTGAGTGTCTAGGGCGAACTGCCTCCGCAGCTCCTACAATGTTGTCGTTGTGAGCAAACTATCCACGAAACTGTTCACTGCACGCTAGGGAAATTCACATGGTCGGAACACTCTGAACCATAACATAACCCCCCTATTAAAATCTAGTGATATATATCAATATGTTTTAATACAATGTAAACCTAATACGTCAATACAAATTTTACCATAAAACAATGCATTGACACATTCAAACAAAAATCAACATGTTTGCGATAAAAAGAAGTTCTGCGCAGAGCGAAAACAAAATATATCCTACCACTCTTGGGATATTCTTGAAAATAAAATAATGAAGGACTTACAAGTGTAAAACAGCATTTATAAATCAGTTTCGGAAAAAGTTTTATACTTTTTCAAATTTACTACATTATATTTACCTATGGTCTGCCCTCCTGCATTCATTAACTCGTATGAATTAGGGCCAGCCACGCGAATAATTTCATACGGGCCTTCGTACAATAGGAAGAACTTTTTAATTGTCCGATGCAACGCACAAGATTGAGCATGAGACCTGGCTAAAACCTTATCCCCAATATTGAAACCAACCTTTCCTTGACAAGCACCCACACATGGTCAAGTGATTGATTTACATCTTCATTGACTGGAAAATTTACAAACTTTGTCAAAGGATGATCTATCTCCTTACCAAATTGAAGATATATGGGAGCGTAACCCGTACTTTCATTGACCGATTGATTGAGACAGTTCTCTTCAAAACTCAAGGCTGACGCCCATTTCGTTTGTTGCATGTGACAATAGGACCGCAACATCCGTCCTATTTCCTTATTATATCTTTCCGTTATATTTCCCTGTGGAAAATAAACCGAGAGGAATTTTGTTTTAATTCCTAACTTCGACAAGGCTTGAGACCACTCCTTGCTAGTAAATTGCGTCCCATTGTCACTAAGAATACAGAGAGGTTTCTCTACTATTGGAATGTAATAATTGACAATCCGGTTTAAAATGGCTTTTGTCGTCGCCCTCTTCAACGTATATACTTTAGTAAAGCGCGAGAACGCATCAACGAGGACTAACACAAAGGCAGCTCCCCCACATGACTTAGGCAATGGCCCAATGAGATCAGTGCACTCTAAACTCCCCGGTTTTTCCGGTACTACCGAATGAAACGGACCATTGTTCATTTTCGAACATTTAGCCTTTTGGCATAAATCACAGGCAGCCGTAATTTTGCGAATATGTTTTTGCATCCGAGGCCAGTAAAATTTCTGCTTCATTGCATTGTATGTTTTGGACTTACCGAAATGTCCACAGCTTTCATGTATCGTAAGGACCAATTCCTGTATTTGACGAGTCGGTACGCATAATTTAAATCCCGGATTTAGAAAATCTCCTCTCTTAAACAAGAGACCGTCGTGAACTACATACCAATCGGATATTTTTCTTTGATTTTCAGAGAATACCGGGACCTCCCTTTCCAAACTCTCAAGAAATAATAGCTTGTCGCGAATCCAATCTTCATTCAATTGGTCCACTCTCATCTGTTTGAAATTATCGCGAATATTTTTGAAATCTCCCTGTAACTGAATCTTCATGATTTTAAAATCATTGCCGTTTTCTGGTAAAACGCCTAAATGTGGCTCTTCTGGAAAACGTGAAAGCACATCAGCGACGCAATTGTCCTTGCCAGGTATATGGTCAATTTTAAAATCGAACTCTTGTATATAGTGTTGCCAGGTCGCCAAACATAATAGCCGGACAGACCAGCCAGTTTGGCCGGACATTTAGTTAAAAAAGCCGGACACCCGACATATCCGTGCCGCGCCATCTTTCTTTTTTACAACTACTAGAGGAGATATGTATTCGGTGCATGCCTTTTTTATCACCCCCAGCGTAACATTTCTTCAATCTGGTCCTTTACCACCGATCTATAAATAAGCCAACACTTTGCCTGGGCTTTCCGAAAAAACGTGTAAATTTTCCTGGAGCAGCTTCTGCAACCGTGCTTTCTCATCATCCCCGGTACACGCCTTCCCTACCACTCTGACAACGTCTTCAGTGCCTTATGTGTGCGCGGCGACAGGTGTCCCTTCGCTAAAAATAGATACGTGACTAATTTTTCCCTGGTGCTGAAGTTTTCAGGTTCTGACCTGCATAAATTAATTTTTATGATGTGATCTTGGGTGATCTCCGATTTAAATGGAATTTTTAAGGTTTCCTCAGTGTTTGGGATATGGAAACACATAGTTTTGTTCCCAAAATTCAAAAATGCATGATTTTTTTTAACCAGTTGTATCCTAGCAAGATGTCACTATTTAAATTGCGGATTACTAGGCACTGCGTTTCTATACAACTATCTTGAATTTTAATGGGTAATAAAATCTGTTTGGTTACCCTCTGTTTTTGACCTCCTACAGCCATAGACACGGTAACATTCGTAACTGGAAAAACAGGTACGGAAATTCAGCTGGAAATCGCTTGGTATGGCTGTAATTTCACTACCACTATCTATTAGTGCTTCGGCTTCCATGTCAGCAATTTGGACATCAATGAAAGGCAGTCACATTTCCGTATTATCATTTTCCTCCTCAAATTCATCATCCGAATCACTTATAAATATGTTAGTGATCTTCGTTAAAGCGGGTGATATTATTTGCTCTGTGATTATCATTACGGGTGTCTCTCGAATGATCAGGATGCGACAACGCGTTTGAATTAGATTTTCTGTTAGGCTGATTTCGCCACGGGCCATTTCGATTGGGGCGCATTAATTGTTGTTGATTAGTTGGCCGAGTTTCGGAATAAGTGTTATCAATTTTCTGAAGGTATTCCTGTACCTCGTCAATTGTTTTAAGCCCCATGGTAACAATACCATGTTGTATTTCTGGACTAAAATGTCTCGCTAACATTTCTATCAGTTTTGCCTCCGGTATTGGTTCTGATAGGTGCGGTGATTGGCAGACTAAATTAAGGAAATATTCTGCTCGGTTTCCTCCTTGAAACTGTCCATAATTCAGAGTGAGGTAAAGTTCTCTCTGACGTTCTACCCCCCAGAATTTATTTAAAAATGCGTTTTCAAAATCTTCATAATCTTGAAAAGTGGTCTCTTTTATTGCGGCCCACTCACTTGCATTGCCCTTGAGGCATGGTAAAACAAGACTGATTTTAGACCTTTCCGGAACTCCAGCTTAAGCTCGAAACTTTTTCATTTTATTTAGGAAGGCTCGCGGATGCAATTTCCCTCCAGGACTGAAATTAATATTTCCCCCTCCTAGGTCTCTCCAATGCGAAATATATGCTTTGTTTACAAATGGAACAGATTCCTCCACTTTGAAAGAATTTGAAGTTAAGGTTTGAGCCGTCTCATTTGGAGTAGAGCCCTGATATTGTGCTGAGCGTTTTTCAATATCCTTTACATTTTCTGCCAACGAGATCACCGTAGTTCTGAGATCTAATACAGTTTCTGTCAATTTACCAACAACAGATTCAATATCACATTGGGTTTCAGAGCCAGAATCATTGTTTCTGCTTTCGCTTCCCCTCTTTTTACCTTTACCTATAATTGCTGTTATAAAATGTATGCCAGTATCTAACAAGAATTTTACAATATCTCCTAGCCTAACTACTACACAAAAGCATCAAATACGTGACAATGTCTGTACGCGATAACGTCCATTCAAAAGTATTTATCCGAGAAAAAAAAAGTCACCCCCACACTGCAACAGTACCATGAAAATGGATTAGCCTCGCCGGATAATTCCTCGTCGCTCCTCCAC